TTGAAGGCGTGAACTGCAATATTTAGAGTGAAAATAAGACTTGTGAAATTGATGCCCATGACAATCGATTCAAGTACTGTTTAATTTCTTTGAGGAAAGGAAATAGTTTTGTATTATGAATCTCAAAATACCTTAATTCTTTATACTTTCTTTCTTACATATATTATAGTTTTTCGAATTTTTTCGCTACTTATTGGTTTCTAAATAAGACCTTAAGCAAACATCTTACTATGAAATAAGAAATTGGTTTTTGACACAAAATTAGAGCGGTGTATGCACTAAGCTGGAGTGATGCTACATTCATGTAATAGAATAAAAATTCACAACCTTTTTTTGGAGGAATTAAAAATTATAATTATCCTGTCATTAAAAAAGAAAAAACATTACTGGAATGCCTAAAGAGGTATTCTAATCTAGAGAACTGAATTTTGAATATTTTTGGTCGGCGAAAGAAAAATTTTAGCTTCAGTTATATGATTAGTTATCTACATTTATTTCAAAATCAATCAAAAAAAGTTTTTAAGAGAAAATATTAGTTTAACAAAGTTGTTATACTTTCTTGAAGTAGAGTGGGAAGAAAGATTGCGTCAAAGTGGTATTCTGGAAACAAAAATTTAATAAAATGCAGAAAAAATCTTCAAAATATTCGGAACTTGAAAGTTTATGGATTTTTAAGTTTTCGACTATCATTAGAAATAAAAAATCAAAAATAAATATAAAAATAAAAATTGAGTATTAAGAAAGATATAAAAATTGAAATTCACAGTAAAACTCTATCATTTTTAACTACCATAGCCTACTGCAAATTCCGGATGCACTTAACTTAACTTAACTGAACTTGACATAACTTAACTTAAATTAACTAAACTAAACTCAACTCAACTGAACTCAACTCAACTCAACTCAACTCAACTCAACTCAACTCAACTCAACTCAACTCAACTCAACTCAACTCAACTTAACTTAACTTAACTTAGCATAACTTAATTGAACTTAACGTAACTTACATAGCTCTACTTAACTGAACTTAACATAGTTGCTGTATATGACCATTGCAAAGACAAGACTAAACACGAACCTATCGAAACAATTCGTTACTTTTCATTTAAAACATAAGTCTGAAAGAATGGTGAACGAATAATATATAATAACTGTAAAAAATCTGAACTCTGGTATTGGAACTTACGCTTAGAACAGCGTTTTCCCTAAAACTCTTAACGGATATTGAAGCTGTGGGAATATTTTATATGTATACGAGCATCTATTTAGCTATTGACTATATTTTTTGCCTTGAAAAGACCGAAGATATTAACAATCCCACATTGGGGATCACAGTCACCCTCAACATCGTACATTTCTGTAAGCCGAAATTTTCTCGGAAATCATACGTGGTTAGAAATTAATTTGGTTACATATGAGAGACATTTTTTATGATCTCAAATGCTATGAAAACACAAAAATAATTTACAGGAGTCCAAACATAAAATCATAATTTTTTTTTTTTTTTAACTTAAAAAAATTAAAGAAAGGTTTTCAGGTTTTATGTTAATTCTGCAGAAGAAATAGCAGCTAATTTTAAAAATTATTGGAGGAAAATTTTAAACCTATATGAATGTTCAAAAAAAAAAAAAATGTTTTGAGACAAAAAATTCTTGCATAATTCTCTCGGCTTCAAGATTTTAAGGTAATAAAGCGCACATTACTTCAGAAAAAGTGGCAGTAATATTTCCAAAATTTTTGGTGGAAAAATTTAAAAGCTACATTCGTATACACAATAATCGTTTTGAATAAAAAAAAAAAAACTTTGCATAATTCTCTCGGGTCTGGTTTGAGAGAGAACTACTCCATCTACTGGGTTATAACAATGGAACGAGTATAAATTTAATTTAAAAATTGGGAAACATATTTCTCAATAAGTTGAATAACAGTTTATGAAATAAAAATATTATTCTTGAATCCATTTTATTACCTCCTTAAACCATTCATGTCTGTATCAAAAAACTTGCCTTTGCTAAAATGTTTATTCATTGATCATGATTATTCTTATGAGATAATTTCTATAAAACTGTCATGAGTAGATCGCTTTGAGAAAAAATTTCCAACTATATTTTTTGCCTTGTGTACTCCGATTCTTAATTGTCAACTCTTCCGGTAACTCGTCTGCTCTACGCCAGCTACTAATCCTGCAGTATAATTAACATCGTCAAAATACTACCACAAAACGATTGTTGGCAGCAGCATGTGCCCATGTTGTCAACGGCATAAATTTCAAAATTCTCAAATTCACAAAAGAGTGGCAAATGTCGACGACAACCGACAACCGACGACCGACAGTGACGCAAACCACTTGCTCGCCAACAGCGCACGAAATGCAAAGCTGCACAGGCAAACATACCGATAGCGAGCGATTTGCATGTGTATGTGATGTGTGTGTGCTTGAGTAAAAGTGAAGCTGCGGTTAATTTAGTGACACATGCCAAAGTGACATTAATGACACCCATTTCACAGGAGCAGCGGGAGCAATGCGCGCCAAACACATAGCAGCAATCAACAAATTGCTGAGTGTGAAGTGTAGTGAAAACAGCTAATTTCACACAAATTCGAAACAAATAGTTGACGATTTTTCTACTTCGAGTAAAATGATGCCGCTGCTGCTGCTGCATGCAACAAGCTGAGCGACAACATGTGGAAAAGCAATAAATTTTAAAGTGCACTTGAATGTTATGCGGTATTGCTACGCTCATACAAACACACATACATACACACATATGTAGGTACTACATACAGACTATATAGTAAGTGTGTGAGCCAATAAAGGTTCATAGTTGTTCGCGTATGGCGGCGAGTTCGGCAGAAAAATGTGTTGGTTTGGCATTTTTGACTTTTACGGGAGTTTTTCAAGCCCTCATCTTATATTACAGCAGTCTTACAGTTATATATACATATATCTTTATACATATATATGTTTTGTAAACCATAAATTGTGCAACGAATGGAAATTGACTGCGTTATAAATTTAGTATTTGTCAATTGATAATTTATTAATTATCTTGGTGGTGAGCATAACCGCAAAGGTCATTAAATTTCATGGCTCATTTAGCGGATGGCAGCGCATACATACTGGCACATAAGGCATTGTTGTTTAAATGCCMATTACTCACGGCAATTATATAAATATGTACAACAACGCATATTGAAAGTAACGCGTAATGTCGCTTACGTGCCTTATTTATGAGGTAACTTATTGAATAAGACATGATTAAATTTAATTTGGTCACTTCTAATTAAAAATATATTTCTGGGCTAGCAATTTGTCATTAAATATATAATGACAAGTGTTGCCATCTAATAATATTTAATATTAAAAAAAAATCATACATGAGAAAAAAAAATTTTTTTTTGGCGGCAATAAAACTAGAATAACCCACACATTTTCATTTTTTGTAGCATAATTTAATATTAAACGATCTTACCTTGATTTTGTTGGGTTAGTTGACATTTAGAGATGCGATCTGAGGAATATTTCCGGAGGTTATTGTGCTGCCTTTGAAAACATAGTGTGACAAATTTAATGAGGATATGTTGTCGTATAAAATTTTTTTTCATACAAGGAAGTGATTCTGATCGATCAATTTATATGACAGCTATATGCAATTGCAGTCGAATGTATTAATATATTCGCAGATTGTAACTTTGATTTGGAAAAAATTCCTTGCCAAATTTCATTAAAATATCATGTCAAAAACAAAAGCTCCCCATACAAGAATGTGCGGCTATCAAGGCCAGTTTAGATAACAGCTATATGATGTAGTGATCTGATCTGCAAAATAGTTTTGGATATTATAATGCAGTCTTGGAAAATAATCCATACCGAATTTTGTGAAGATATCTTATCAAATAAAAAAGTTTTCCAAACCCGAGCTTGTTTTTTATTGGTCAGTTTGTATGGCACCTATATGCTATTAGGACTTCTTTGGAGATTTTACCGTTATATTGGAAAATATGCCAAATTTCATGAAAATAGCTTATCAATTAAAGAAGTTTTTCATACAAGGACTTGATTTTGATCGGTTAAATTGTATGGCAGCTACATGCTATAATGGTCCGATGAAAGCGGTTCCGACAAATGAGCAGGTTCCTGACGGGTAAAGAATGTGTGGAAATTATCAGGTCTATATCTCAAAAACTGAGTGACATATTCGGTTATATACCGGCAGATAGATGAAAATAACTAAATCAACTTAGCTGTTCACATTGATCATTAATATTGATACATAGGGTACCCAACGTTTCCTAAAGATTGTTACAAACTTCGTGGAAGACTTAGTAAACACATTCAGATTATTAAAAAGTATCCAGCAATAATTTAATGCTACAAAAAAAATAACTTCAGTATTGAAACGACTACCATTACAAAGTTATAATTTTATGAGTTATCACAAAAATATTAACACTAACAAACGCACAGATTCTCAAGCGATTTTTCTCCGTCTATGTGTTTTACACAACTCATGGTCTTCATAATGTTATCAGTATGCAATAATATGCAGCCTCTTCGAATATGTAGCATACTTACATACATGCCGGCTCCTACATTGTAGCCTATCCGCGTTTATGCTTGTAAATGCCATAAATCCTTTTATGATCCATTTTATCGTCTTTTAAGCAGCCTCTAGTGGCGCAGCACTCGCGCTCAATTATTGAGCCATATTTGCGTCGGCCAAGTGCAGCTACTTACTTACAACAACATTAATGCGCACTCGTTAATGGCCTCAACTATAATGGCGTGGCCATAAAAGCGCTTGTTAAGCGATTGAATTCTTCTCTTCTCACCCACACACTTGCACTCTTTTACACAGCAGTTTTATACTCTTTAAATTTCGTTTTCCTGTTATAAAATACCGTTAGTTTAATATTTACATGTATGGCACTGTATATTCTAGTATTTAAAAAACTTTTCTTAAAACATTAATTTTTTTGTATATTTTTTCTCTACTCTGGTTTATTCTTTTCAGTTTGGGCCGAGACTGGCGATTTTCGTGATAGTCATAGTTCCATGACCGCTGTAGCAAATAGTTTGGATAGCACACATTTAAATAATTTTCAAACGTCATCATCATCGGCGTTGTCGAACCGCAATCGTGATCGTAAGGATGGTAAGTAGATTTGGGAAGTAAAATATAATATATTTTTATTTTAATTTTTTTTGTATTGAAGTTTAATATATAAATTTGAAACCTTTTTTAGACATAAAACTGTATTTAGAAAAGTTGTCTGAAAAAGTTTTAAAATTATTATTGTAATGTAATTTTGTAGGCCATTGCTTAGTATGATTTTTACTATGCCTTTTAAGTTTTGTATGCAATATGTTTAAAGTTTTTCAAGAGATTTCAAATAGATATTTATACTCAATATACATATCGTCACCAGAAATGCAAAATAACGTATCATCAAAAAATTCGAAATTGAGTGTCTTATTGATTACGCTTCACTACTTCAAATTACATACATAATATTACAAATGTTCAATATTTTGAGGTTCTGTGCTCAGATATAAACCAGTTTTAACCAATATTAAAATTATTTATCACTCATGTTCCATTTATTTTGTGTTTCATTCATGCCACTGTAAATTTCCGAAAATGTTGTTACGTTAATTTGCATTTCAGGTGACGATATATACTATAGGAATAGATAAATTGATAGATAAAAGCTAAAATTTCAATACATGTATATTATGTATATACATATGTGTTGATTCAGTGATCTAGGCTTTAGAGGTATATTTCTTCGCCTGATGGATTTCCTATGACCTCCGATTTCTAATAGTTACTATACCAAGAGCTTTGAATTTAACTATAACTAACTGGCCTATAAATGTGATTTTATCAGCATACTAAATATAATATATTCAAATTAAAGTACCGACAAGTCTTCTGTCAAAAATTGCAGCACCGCACGCAATCTTCATTTAAGTCAACAAGTCGGCATAATTTGACACTATCGAAGCTTTTATGATTGTATATTTATCTATTTTAATTCAAATGTAAATCTTATCAGGCGAATTTTATGTCACCGCAGTCATATGCCTGCAATTGACATCCTTCGGTCATATGCCTGCAGACAACTTGTGACTTGCTCTAATACCCGACACTTACCACAGACGCTGTCATTGTGAATAATTTTAGATTACGCCTGTACTCACATTTATATAGGAGTTTTCCATTTTAAAAGCACATTTATTTATGATATGCAAAGTTTATTTTTAATACATGTTGTATACTTGTTTATACAACTAAATACTAATAGAGATAATTTTGTGACACACAAGCGGGGTTCCCAATAATTCATGAAAAAAAAAAAAACATTTGAATTATTTTTTTGTTTTTGTCATCGCGAAAATATCTTAATTTTTTGGAAATACCTTACAATGTTGTAAAATAATCTGAGCGGCTTATATTGGAAAATTGTGGTATACCTGGAGTGGTTGATTGAGGGTACCATCAGCTTGTTAAATAATGGAAAGCACTCAAAGAATGTAAGCTATTTTATAACTGGAAGGACTACCTCAATATCGCAGTTTCAATACATATTTTGACTTCTTACAAAATGATTTAACGAAATCTTGATCCTGTTCAATTTTTCCGTATTTGTAGCTAAAAGTATTCATAAAAATTTTATTATCAATCGTATCGTATCAGGCTGATATTTGTAGTCACTAATGATCTCACTTGGACAACTAAGAACTCCGGTCCTTTGAGTTCTAAGATGCTCCATATGAAACTCATGCATCAAAAAATCGTCGCATATCGACAAAGCGCCTTGAATCTGCCACAAATTTGTTGCCACTAATACCAATTAATGCCAATTTATCTGGTTGATAGAAGTTTTGACTATTGAGACCAATAAACCTAAGTCTAACAAAAGCTGAACAGAGGAGGAGAACGCCTGTGTACATGTTCCCACCTCGCCTTCCTCCATGCAGCTGTGACAATTTTCGTGCTCAAAAATCTTTAATCTCATCGCATGAGTCCAAATAAGACAATGTACAGTTAGATCTCATGTCATTGGTGCAAGATGTACGAGTGCCTTGCTAAGAACAAGGCATGCAAGAACATGACCTCTTACATTCAAGTTTGGGTCAAAAGGATATGCAATAGCATATCTTCTGGTTAAAAAACTCTCTTCCACCAACTTTCTTCCTGAGTTTCACGGCTGGAAAGAAGCTCACGGCTCCTCTCAGCTATTTCTCGTTTTACCTTTGTAGTCTTAAGAAAAAAGCACACATTATCAGGTGCGTTTTCAAATTGCTTACAGACGTGTGTATTTGGTTTACAAGCCCGCTCCGCAGCATTCGTTAATATGGCAGGACCCGAACCCTTCATTGGGTTTGGTCTCCATACCATAAAGGTGCTGCTCCGCAAGGATGGAGTGGTAGATAGGGAGGGATATTGGTAACAACTCCAAAGCATGCCCCATGCCAAGTAGTTAGTGGGTGGTTACAACCTTAAAAAGTTTAAATATGTAATCAACCTCCGAAAGAACAAATTTAGACTTGTCGCTTTCTTCACTGGCCATTGTAACCTCAAAAAGCATTTATATATACAATATTACCTAGACTTAGATTTTTGTGGGAATTGCCGGTTCTGCGACATGAAGCCTGATAGGCCAGAACACCTGCTAATTGACTGCACAGCAGTCTGCAGTGGCGGGATAAACGCCCTTCGATTTATATTTCCAAATATAATTTAATTTATATTTAATCTAATCTAATTCGCTTTACGAAAAAAGTCAGTTAATCAGTCATTTGATATCACATCATCACATCTGTAACATGCTTATTCAATTTTCAAACCAAATCACTCGTTTTGTGAAAATGAAATGGCATTGCTGATTTCTATAAAAAAATAAAATAAAAAATAAAAAAAGAAGAAAAAAAAAATAAATCTCGTATAAATTGTTCGAGATTTTTCTCATACACACTTTTTTCATACAATTTCTACTTTCACAACTTACTAACCAAAATACTTCTTGCCGTCGGTTAAACGACGCCTCTTTGATTCGCGAATGCCAACGGCAATTGTCGAAGCAAGTTTTAGTGTAAAATGCGCTGTCACGCCATGCCAACAAAACAAACAACCAACAGACATTTATTTCGGCGAATAATACGAATTAAGCGATACAATATACAACAACTGCAATAACAAAAGTACACACAAATATATACAAACATAAATACATGCATACATGTGTATACATATACGCGAGTATAAAAATAAAAGTGCGAGTAATCACATTAAAACTAAATAAAATGCCAGCAAATTATCATTAAACTATGGTGCATACATATAGACATATGTATGTATATATGAGTGCATAAATTTTTGTTTGTGCGTATGTAAGGTTGTATATGTAGTAGCTATACATATGTATATGTAAGTGTGTGTATTTACAGCTATGTGCCAGCGCTTATCACCGCCAAAAATATTTCGAGATAAAATTTGTAATTTATAACAATTTCATGCAACACATTAAAAATAAAGTGACGGTAGCCAACGCGCGCTAATGCCATTACCAAAAAATCACAATCCTTTGTCGGCGAAAACGCCTTTGATTTTGACTTTGGTTTTCAGCATAAAAAACATTGAACGGCTGCACTTACGCATATACAGGTATACATACAGAAAAACATACATACATAGACAAATATACAAACATTACTTTACTACTATTTAATTATTTGTTTTTGTTGTTGCCCACACTTAGTTTAGCTGATTAGGTCCGGCGTAAAGCGATAAATTACTGAGCCGTTATTGTTGTATTAGGCGGTACCACGTAGCACATCGTGTAACTCCACGCAACACCCAACGTTACCGACGAGCAGCGAATGATCGATCGATGATATATTTGTTTGCTTTTTTCTTCACTTTTTTCATTTTTTTTTTTTTTGTGCTGATGAGGTGGGCTGAGCGGGCGGTGCTTTTTATAGTGTATAAGTTTGTAAAAAGAGACAAAAAGGGTGGCGGGTATGGGTGCTTATGGCGCTGACAGCGGCAACGTTTGAACTTTTCCAGGGAGTAAGGGCCGTGAAGTTGATTTTAACATTTATTTACTCAAGTTATTTGTGAATTTACCTTCATTTATAGTTTTAAAGGGTAGCAATTAGCTAAAATTATAAAAAAACACATATGTACATAATATACATATATGTAAGTATGTTAGCACGGTTATGTAGCGCTATATAAATACAATTTTAAGTGACTGACCTAACTTCCTTCGGCTTGTTACTGAGTAAGCTTTTTTTTCTTTAAGGCAGGGAGTAATTTTCGTCATCCACAACTAATTTTATAATTGGTATACTATATGACTGTATGCGCTTCCACTGACAATTGGTGATAGTGATAATGATAATACGGCTAATTACGATTAGCTACTGTATATTGATTAATACTTTTGCATTCGTTTTGCGACGCTTTTCAAAATTGTTTAATGCAATCGCTTTAGTCATAAAATGTTTGTATGTATGTTGTTGTTTGGTACCGAATTTCCGACGGCATTGCTTACCATAAACAGCAAAATTGTTAATAAACACTTAATCGAAGGTGAAAATATATTGCACTAGACATTAATAAATCGTGTAATAACTTATAAGTCTCGCATAAAAGTTTTTTTCTTTTATATTTAATTAAAATCAATTTATTTAGAGACTGCTCTATTGTCTTGGATAATAATTCATGCCAAGATTGGTCAAAAATCTAGACAAATTAAGGAGCTTTCCTCACAAGCAGTTGATTCCGATCGTTTAATTTATTTGGTAGCTTTATATGATATAGTGACTCGATGTGAACAATTTCTTTGGAGATTGCTCTATCTGTCTTGTCCGTCTTACTGTCTTGGACAATAATCCATGCCAAGATTGGTCGAAATATCTCCTCAAATTAAAATTTTTGCATACAAGTACTTCACTTGGCTTGTTCAATTAGTATGGCAGCTATATGATAAAGTGGTTCGTTATTGGTCGCAGCGACAAATGAGCTGCTTCTTGGGGAGAAAAGGACGTATGAAAAATATCACATTCTTAACTCAAAAACTGAGGGACTAGTTAGCGTTTGTACAGTCTGATAGACGGGCAGTTGGACATGTCTAAATCAACTCAGCTCGTTACACTAATGATTTATATAGATATATTTCATATATGTTTTATAGGGTCACCGACGTTTCGTTCTAGGTGTGGTCAGGGTATAAAAACTATTTTTCTCATGTTTTTGACAATACTTTTAATCTCTCTAATTTGATACATTTACAATGGCAAAAATACACCGCTTACTTTCTTGTATCGTATTCTACTCAGTAGTTAGGCGGGTAGAGTGGATGTCTGACGACGCACCTAAGCCTTTAGAATGCCCATTGTGAAACTACCGTGACTAAAATCTGTTAGGTGTGGTATACATATTCCTCCCTGTCTTAACCACTCCGTCCTTCTAATGAAATTCATTGAGGGGTTACATGGTAAAAAAGTCCTTTTTTCAAAATTCTTTTGGTCATATAAAAATTTATATACTTTATTAGAATTTTTTATTGTTACAAACATACACTGTTAGCAAAGAATTTCTGAAACTTTTGGAAAAAGAATATTTTAAACACGGACATTGCAACACCATTTCTGATAACCCCTCGGAAAAAAAGCGCCCGCGTTGGCAGGATAACTTCATACAAGATCATCTAAAGTAAACAATAGGTGTTTTAGTTAAAACCTTAACATAGAACTTGAACAAAAAAAAACCAAAAACTAAAAATTGGATTTTTGGCAGACATTTGACAAAAAAATTAAAATTTTCCGACTTTTTTTTTCAAATAGTTGTAGTCGAAAAAAAGCCTTACAAGAATTGTATCTTAAAGACCTGCGTAAAATTTCATGAAAATGGGTTGAGAAGCTAGCCGACAGGTGTAATGCTCGAACTTTCTACGAAAGGGGCGACAACCAAAAAAAGGTTTTGATACGTATGCCCAGAGGAACCGGAAATTATGGTAGAAACACTTCTCCAGCCTACTGAACGGGAGTGAAAACATAACGCCAGGAGATGGTGAACTCGACCCGCAATCGATGAATATAGAGCGGATGACCCATTGCCCGACCATGAAGAAATTAGGATAGCAATTAACCGTCTGAAGAAAAGAAGGGACTGATGGATTGCCGACAGAGCTATTCAAATACAGTGGCGAAGAGCTGATAAGAGGCATGTATTAGCTTTTTTGTAAACTATGGTTGGACGAAAACATCTTGGAAACTAAAATTTGCGCTAAACAGCGAATAGGAAGGACGATTGGCGCGCTATTGTAAACTCGGCTTTTACCGCGTAAACCGTTTCTACGACAATAATGAAGACGATTAAAAACAAGCGATCATCCGTTATCCAGCCAGCAAGTAAAATTAAAAAAAAAACAAATTAAACCTGTATCTTCTTCTTCTTCTTCACTGGCGTAAACTTAGTCCTTATTAAGCTTTCTAGGGCCGTCAACAAAAGTGGGGAGTTTCATTAGTGGATGTTGCTTCTTTTTCATTGGAAATGGTCTCTACGTGGTGATATAAAGTTGTATACACGTCATTAGTTATTTTTATAAAAAATTAAAAAAAAAAATTAAGAAGTTTAAGTGCAAAACTAACCTAAATCTAACTGAAATGTGCGTAATTTTTAAGTAACACATTATAAAACGTGCTCAAAATCTCAACCACCTACAAGTCGTCCCACATAATCTAACTTCCGTTAGCACATACGACAAGTCCCACCCTGTATATAAACAAACATTTATATATGTACATACATATGCATGTATATCCGATAATAAGTGTCGACAATACCGATGGCAATGGCCAACTCCTCTGCTATTTACAACTAATAAATCGATTTATGTACACACATACATATGTACATACACATATTCGATTTTTCTCACCTCGCTCGCACCGATGCGGAAGGCGCCGACCATACTTACTTGCCATCTTGCAAACAAACAATAACAACAATGTATAATCAAGTAAGCGAAGATAGAACTGTTAGTGCTGTCACTGCAACGATTTATGATTACCTTATTACTTTGTTGATATAATTGTTGTTGGGTGCTTGTTGTAATTGTTTGTTTGACAAGCGTCTCGTGAGTGTTGGCGAGTGTCTCCGTTAAAAAGTATCTGTCTGCTGGCACTTATGGCTATCATTGGGAAAATAGTTTACATTACATGGTATGTTTGTTGTTGTAATTCGTTTATGCCGCGCCGCGATAAAGTACAACAAATGCAACAAAAAAACATGTGTAATCGATTTGTACAATTTAGCTAATAACAGTTTGTACAATTTTAAGTCAACAAATTATTTAGTATCCAAGTTGAATGTGAAAGCGTGAGACTATGTACATATATGTGAGAGAGTGTGTGCGTATGGGTGCAAACGAATGCGTGTAAGGTTCCCATTGATACACTTTCCACGAAATATTAAGGTGCACTAACTTATGCGCAGACATATATGTATATAGGCTTAAATACATGCATATCTATATACACACTATACATATGTGCATACATACATACTTAAAACATACATATGTATGTATATTTGTATATGTATTGCACATATTTGCTTGTTCTAATATTTATTGAGTTGGCTCCTTAAGTTCAACATTTTTCTCTTCTCCTACAAATACTTTCAATTGATTTTTTTCGTTGTTTTTGTTATTGCAGGTAATCGTTCCGTCAATGAGACCACAATCAAAACCGAAAACATATCAAATTCCGGTCATGACGAACCGATGACAACCACCACAGATGAGCCGAAAAACGATAAGAAAAACAAACGTCAACGCCGCCAGCGCACACATTTCACATCACAACAACTGCAAGAGCTGGAGCACACATTCAGCCGGAATCGATATCCGGATATGTCGACACGCGAAGAGATCGCCATGTGGACAAATTTGACCGAAGCACGAGTTAGGGTAAGTCTTCAATGGTTAAAGATTATATTATGTTGTTCACATCTAATTTTGAGATGTGGTAAAATGGGTTAGGTTAGGTTATGTGGCTGATCTGGAGAGATCGTACGTGGAAAAGAAAAACTCTTGCGTTCGAACTTATAAATTAGCTAAACGCTTAGTAAGTAGCCGATACAAATTTGCACAGGCGTTTCACTTCCAGTTCCACCAGTTCGGTTATATGTCTGAAGGTATGCACTGAGGTCTATGTCTTGACCTCCCAAACCCAAAAGATAGTGAAGAGGGAAGGGTTGAGCTGTTTCCACCTTATATTCTTTTATACAGCTTCTTATATATAATATATCTAATAGAGGCCAAAAATTGCTTAGAATCCAACATTCGAAGAACGATTATTTGACCAAGGCACAATAGTGTGAAAATTTAAAAAATTAATTTGTTTGCTTTTACATATTTTTTATAGATTATACCGTTAAAAATAACATACACAATTTTTATATGAATATTTAACATAATTCTTTTGAATATTCAAATATTTTTTTTGAATCACAACCTTCTAAAGTGCAATCCCTTAATTCAATCAGCCCCGTTAGTAAAGGTAGGTTTAAAATTGTTTTACTCAAAACTAAATTCTTCAATTTTGATGCAGTTGTAACTTGAAAAAAGCTCATACTATCATTTTGATAACTTTTCAGCTTAATTGATATATTTTTTTTTGGTACTAAGACCTTTATTTTTTCGATTGTAACAAAATGTAATTTTTCAGTGCCAAAAAGCATCTAATATTTTAACAAAATTTTACAACTTTTTTCAAAATCTACCTTTTTTAAACGAAACCTTCTCCAAACTAATTTTATTGAATTAAGATTTCAAATAATCCACTTTAATTAAAAGTTTACAACTTTTATAAAGCGCATCAATACATAGATTTCCATACATACATATGTGCATAAATATGCCATTGCAACTTGCACACCAAACCTCACGCTCATTGCCTCACCACGCACGAAGTGAAACGCGAGAGCGCTTTAGCCAACAACAACTGACCATAACTTTACACCAAGCTCCCCATTGAGAGTTTTGCAAAATGTATGCGGAGTGGGCAACACTCACGAAGCGAAAATATAAAATCGAACAACGGTAAAATGGAAAACAAATTTAAGCGCGGAACGAGTAAGATATCCGTGTTGCACGCCACAAGCGCGAAACGCCAATTTATGGCAACATTGCGGTCAACAAGCTGCTACAGCAAGCAAAGCACAAAATGGCAACAGAACTGCAGCCGATTGCATGCACTTTGCAGAAGGGCAGCGGCAGCCATTGCGGTTTGGGGAATGCAGCCACAACACTGGCAAAGCGAAATTCCACCGCAATGCGCGAATAACCGAAAAAGTTGTCATACTTTATGGTGAACACACAACAACTACAAATGTGTAACGCCAGCGCAGCGGCAGAAGTGCGAAGCTGAGACGGGTTAGCGGCTATAAAGGCTAGACTCTGCAGCGCCAGCTTTGCAAATAAATTCCGAAAATGCACACAAAACCCCACAGCGCTTAATCTGTGCAGGCGTACATGTGTTGTTGTCGTTGTTGTTGTTGTTGATGTCCCAGCTGTTGTTGAGCTTATTACGCGGTTATTTGCGCTACCTTTTTTCGCCGGCTGTGTAGTGAAAATGCCAAAAACAACGAATTTACGAGTTGGCAGCCATGATGCAACAGCAACAAGAACAACACCAACGACAGTGTATGCTTGTGTGTAAGCCACAACCACAACAATCAACATGGTGGCTTTTCAATGAGTATAACTTTCGGCCAGTGGCCGAACGGTAGCGAAGCAGCACGAACAACAATAATGAACGAAATGGACAACAATAAGAACAACACAAATAACAGTAACGAAGTGGCTTGTGCTCTGCAAAGTTATTGCGGTGAATGTTCGTGCTTTGCGGCGTACTTTGCATGCGTACACCGTGTGTACCATTGTTTGCGCCAGCACATAATTTAGTCTCCGCCTTCGACAATACACCATCGCCGGCTACAAATTTATGCATTTTTAATCGGTTCGGCATATAAAGCGTTTAATAAATCTATTATAATATTGTGTGTATATATACATACATATGTATATATTTATAAATGCATATACATATGTACCTGAATGGCAAATAGTATGTGTATATTGAACTCGTAATTTGTTGGTTTTCTGCTTTATTATGCACTCTCACAGAATTTTCGATTGCAACTTTCGCATTTATAATTTGCAAACGGAATATGTGAGCAATGCGTGACTCTGAAAGTTATTGCTCATTTGCGGTTTTTCGGCAATTGGCAACGCGTTGTTATTAAGTATGAATTTATTTATATTTTCCTCACTCATATGGGTCGCATTGGGTTTGTGGAACTTTAAAAAACGGGAGGAAAAAAAATTTAAAAAAGAAAAAGCATTTATTGGCTTCCTATAGTATCATACAGTTATAAATTACATATAACTAACCGAAACATAGCTTTTGTAATTTCGCGAACCCATTTTTGTAAGTAATACTAAAAACAATTGCCTGAAGGAAGAGGAAAAATTTATGATTTTATGTCCTATGTTCAGTTATGAGTTCCCTATAACTTCGGTTGTGCCAAAAAAGAAGTTTTCATAAAAGAACTAAGTCTTGATCGTTCAGTTTGTGTAGCAGCTACATATGTATGTATATGTTACAGTGGTCCGTTCTGAAAAATTTCTTCAAGTGTTTAGCGCTCTCAAATAAAAAAGTTTTATTTAGAAGAACCTGGTTTTGACCGTTCAATTTGTGTAGCAATACAAATTTTTAGTATACTTTGCAGCTGTATGTATATCAAGGCTTAGAAACCTAAAAAATACAAATTTAACTTTTTTTAATGGCAGTAGGATTGATAATAATGCATTTGAAAACAAATTAAATTAACATGTAAATTATAATTTTTAAGTTTGGCTTTCAAGAACATCGAGAAAATCCTAAATAAAAATTATTTTCGAAATTTTTATCCCAAATATCGGTTTCAAATATTAATGACAAATTGTAAAATTACAAATACCGCATTGAAAAAAATATTTATTTAGAATTTATAACTGAAGGTAAGCAAATTTGTTTATAAATTTAAATAAAACTAAAAAATATTTTTAAATTTAATGTTTTTGCGCTTTCGTACTTCGTGCTCTATTATTACTAGAGCCGGCACAGAGCCACCATCTTCATTATTCTAGGCTAGTGATGGGCAGCAAACTTCAAGCTTCAAGCGATTTATCAATTTTTAACTTCGATTTTTAGAATATAATAAGAATTTAAATT